AGTAGTTATTAAGATTGATGTGGTTTGGAATTGGTAAAATGTGCTTGGAAAAAAATATGATCAGAATATTAACGTGCCTAATAATTATCCACGCGGTGTAAGATGTGCTCCCTTTACACAGAGTGTGTGTGATCGCAAAATCAAAAGTGAAAGTGAACAGCGAGTGCTCATTCAAATGCGATTTCATACCCTGCATATTGATAGTGGCTCCCTGATGTGCGAAACATATGGGGTTAAAGCAAAAAGAAAAATCTTTTGAGTGAAATGACACAATAATAGAATGTTTGCGGGAGCGGGCGGTAATGGTCAGAAATTCAGCGGGAGCGGGCTTAAGAAAACTGTCCCGCTCAGGGCTCTAGGCTGCGCATCAACAAACACAAGTTTTTTTGTTTTTTTTTTCTCGCGCTACCCCATCTCCACCCCCAATCATTAGTGCCATTTCATTCTGTCTAATAGAACATATAGGACAATTTTTGAAATAGCCATAAACAACATTTTTTTCAAATTTAATTCAAGCACTTTCAAGGACCTATGTTTGTTTTCAAGTACCTTCCAGGCCTTGAATCCATATGTCTGAAATTCAAGTACTTTCAAGAAGCGTGGGAACCCTGTACCAAGTAGCGACAGTTTAATTAACTTTAATTTGCTCAACCCCACCTGGCCATCTGTTTGTAAGCTTCTTCTGCCACTGCGAAGATGTGAGGGTCCATGTCACCCATATTCTGCCCACTGTATGCGTTAATGATGTCAGTTCCATAGATGGGTAGTGTCTCATATGGGTTAATAGCGACTAGAACAATACCTGGGTCAAACGATAAAAACACAATAATTAGAGCTCAATAATTGTAGACAAATTAAGTATATATGTCTAGTATGTGTGTGTGTGTTTACCGCAGTATGTGTAGATGAGTTTGGAATCAATGAAGCGCACTTTCAGATTGTGTAACACAGCGGGCTCGTGAAGGTAACTAAGAGCTGTCAGGTCATTTTCTCCCACCAGGATATCAGGGTTACGGAGGTGTGGTAAGTTGTTTGTCTTGGGGTCCAATTTATACTCCAGTTCCTGAATAACACAATTCACAGCACAACAAATTATGACAGTTTGGGTTTTAAGGGGAAACCAGCATCATCTGAAGTCAGACGATCGGTTTCTGTGAGACTGAAAAACTCATTCACGTTTCAGCATTTTCAAACCTGACTTGTTGTGATCGGTCACAAGCCAAAAGATAATCAATGTAATTTGACATTACCAACCTCTGAGGCTATCATCATATGGAAATGATCTGTCAAAAATCTGCAAAACATCTCCTCTGAAAGAAACAAATTCACTGATATATACAAATTAAACTGATTTGAAACGACACGACTGCCTTTTTTAAATAACACATTAACTAGTTCTCTGAATCTTTATTTAGAGTTTAGAGATGGATTGGAATTCGGCGCAATGAGCTAATAAAGTCATCAGATAAATACACCACATAAATAGAAATGACTACAAAGTAGGTTGGCGATGTCTACAAAATTGGCATCGGACGATGTCTACAGTGAAACATCACGATGGACGATGACATCGGCGGGGGCAGGGGTGGGGGGGGGTGGAGTTAGGGGGTGTGCCCAAAGCGTGAATTCTTATAAGGAAAAACAAATAACGATTCCTAACACCGTGTCTACACCGGACGCGAGCGGCAAGACAAAATACTATAGAACCACTCATCTATAATAGAGATTCCTTATATATAGATCAGTCTATAGAACTCATTATAATAAGTGATGCTGTCAACACTGGATGCGGCGCGGCACGACACGACAAATCCCCGACATTAAACTGCTGCCGCGTTCTATTTATGATGTGCTGACACAAATTTCAAACGATTTTCAACGGTCGCTTTGTCATGTCCAGTGTAGACAGACTTTAGCTGATGCGGTGCATCACGACGTGTACACGACGTGTAGACACGGTGTAACGGTTGTCTGTTACAGTACATAAAATTTCACTTACCACATAAACAGAGTAAGCTTGACTAAGGACGATGGCGAATGATTTGCAGATCCTCATACCACTGACAAACATATAATCTTGTATGTGTGGTAAGTACTGCCACTCCATAGTATAAACAGAGTACGTGCGATTGCGAATCTCGAAGGTGAAAGTGAAACTAAAAAGCGATCGTGCATTCAAAAGCACAATGCCAGGTATAATAGCGGCTCCCTGATGCCCGAAATATATATGTAGTATAATTACCCAATGATATAACTGCGAGGAAAAATATTGAAATATATATTTTCCTCCCATCTCGTATTTATTCCCTTTAGCGGTTCCACCTACACATCATTTTCTTTCCGAACACGGTATTGGGATGCGGCGGATTGTGGGGGGTATGGGGGGGATCACGATGCCGGCTCAACATCGTGATGTCTATCAGCCATCGGCGATGGACGATGGCATCGTCTATCGGCCCAACCCTACTACAAAGCAGGGTCAGAAATTAATGGGGCTTGAAACAAAAAAGGCACCAAATTAACAAACATACCCTGCAAATTCAAGATAAGGGGGCAAAAATGCCCCTGCACAAGCAAAATCTATTACGGCTGTTACAATTAAAGATAAATGTGAAAATTAATGAAACGTGTCAATTGCATTAGATTTCTATGTTGCATAGATGACTTTTTACTATTTGTTTACAGTATCGAACAGGATAACCAATCAATCAGAGGTGTTTTGGTTTGTCACTTGTTTAGTGTGCATGCTCACTTACTGAATTCTGAATTTGCATTTTCAAATTTTCTCATCATCATAAACAACAAAGTGCAGAAATGTTGTAAGTAAGAGATTAATTTAGCAATGTACACAGCTTTAATGATTATAATGGGAGTTTCTGTGAAAGTGCATAACTTACATTAGTCTGAAGTCATGGACTGCTTCAGTGTTCTTTGCTCGCTTTTTTATATAAATTAGTTTAAATAGACGTTTTGTTCTTCATGCTACTAAAATAACCAGTGTGAAGTCTTGATTTTCTAATCAGTAAAAAGTAATAAACTAGCCTAATTCATAAAATGTTCTTGGCTTGTTTTGTCTGAAGCCAGAATTTGATGTGGTATTTCCACAAAAACAAAAATATTTATATTACTCAACATTAACAATCACGTTTACAATATCAAGAGCAATAATCAACAATATTTTTTTTTCATTGGCCTTTAATTTATAGTCCATTTACCTTATACTACTGTTGTGTTGTAGAAATACATGTACAGTATGCCACCTTTGAACAGCATTAAACAGACTAAATTAAATAAACATAAATGCCATGTCAGATAAAGCTTCTGTTCCACCTTTGCAGTATAAAGATTACTTTTGTTGATGTTGAAAAACAACAACAGTCTATATTATTGTGATTGATGTAATTGGTTAAATTTAAATATTTTTCACATAAAAACAAATACATTTGCCATAAAAATTGCCTTTACAAAGTTAATAAATGCCCCTGGAAATCTGCTCCTGGGGGCAAATATTTCCCCCTTAATGGAAAAGATCATTTCTTACCCTGCTACAAAGATCATAAAAATACTCCCACCACCACTTTTACTGTCATTAACCCCCTAGAGATCACTGAACAGAGAGTTAAGACTCATTTAGACCTGAAGTCATTGTTTTAAGGAATATTCAGGAGTATTTTGCACATTATTGTTAGGATTGTTATTGTTAGTTAAAATGGACAAAAATGTAATTGACACCAAAAAGTCATGGTTGGTAAACTATTCTAACATCATTCTGCATTAGTCTCATATTAACAAATGTGTAAATGCTTTCATTGTAATTCCATGTGCTTGACTGCTAAGGGTGTATTAATACATTTACTGTAAGAGCAATTCCCAAGTGCTTTTACAAAACCGTGTTTACATGACTGTCTATAGTACTCAGACAGTGTGACTGGCCGTGGTACGTTTAAGCTATTGGTTAATGATCTGCTGGATTGCTAACACAAAGGCTGCGGGATCAATCCCTTGGACCAATCCCAATAAACTAAAAAAGTACACCAGTAAACCTATCGTACTGTGAGCAATGCTAATGAAAAGAGTCTGATGAGGCTTATAAACACTCACTGCTCTAATACAAACACACACACTGACCTTTCCATCCTCCAGCTGTAGCTGCAGTACTCCATCTCCTTGTCTGTAGTCCTTGGTGAGCTCTGCTGACTTCCACACTTCCTCTACATCCGGGATCCAGACCCGTGCATACTGTACAGACAGAATTATCAGTTAATATCTCTCGCTCACACAATGTTCATTGAATATTTCTTTTTAGTTAATACAGATTTGAGGCATTGTGATAGGAATGTGAGTGAGAGTGGAAAAGAAAGACATTCTGCTGCTAACCATGTCAAGCTGACGCAGACAAACTGTGAAAAACATATTAAAACATTTAATCACATGACACTGGATCTCAAAAGCAGGCTAAAGATATTCAGAGGGTTATGTAAATTAATATAGATTAAAAAAATATTTTTATAATCTTCGCAATTAATTCAAATCAAAAGAATTCAAATCAAATCAAATCACAGCTTGTTGAATATTCTGAATATTTTAGTTGAAAATACCATTTTGTGCTAGTTAAACGTGGTGTAAATGTTATTTTAAATGTTTCTCTAATAAAGTACAGCTGTGGTGATAATTTGAATCTGCAGTGTCATCCTGTCTGATCTGCCTCATTATTATTAACTGCATCCATAATAATAGAGACAGAATGCATTCATGACAACAGAAGACATCCAGCACAGTTCATCTGAGAGAACAACCAAATCCAACCAATAATCCTGATTATACATGACTGAGGGACCCTAATAAACATGAGAAAAGAAACAAACAAAGAAACAGCAAAAAGAAAGTATAGCAGTCGCATTTATGACAAGTGAGCGGCACATTTCAGAGCTCCAGACTGTGATATATAATATCAAAAAATATATTTATTTAAAACTAAAAGAGAAAAACACTTTTGAGAGATAACACAAAAATATGAAGAGAATAAAGCAGCATTGATGAGCTACAGCAATCAATTCCGGCAATTGGCTCCAACATGTTTCTGACTCAGTGAGGTCTGTTTTTCACTCTGTGTGTGTTTTAAGCATTTCTGTGTCAGCAGCAATAACGTCAGAGTTAGTCGCACGGGCCAGATGGGATATAGTCCAGCTTTCCACACCATCGTTATAACTCATTCGTGTATGAGGCTCACACAGACACACTGGCACACACAGCCCTCCACCTCAGAAAACTGCTCATGCATTTTTAAAGTTGAGTCACATTAAAGTCAAAGTCAATACCAGTGAAATTTCACAATATCATAGCAAAAATGGAGAACATCCTTTATAGGGTTGAAAAGGGGTGGAAAATTTCTGGAATATTTCCTAAATTTACTGGAAATTTTCCACCTTTTTGCAACCCTAATCCTTTATTTAAACAGCAAATAAAAAATAAAAAAACTAAATTAAGAAAATACTGCTTTTAGTTTTTTAATGCAATTATTCATACTAATTAAGTGGCTAATACAAATCAAGTAAGTGGCTTTTCCCTGTCAATACTGTTGTTTAATTAATGCTATGACATATCAGCCTGGTCTCATGTTTATACGTAGGTATTAATACGTAACATTTACAAGCACAAAACGTACATTTTTGTACGTTTTTATTAATGCTAAAACGTACAATTTAGACGTATTTCAACGTTTAAAACGTACAAATCGCTACGTATTTTTAGCTAAAAAATTTACAAATATTTACGTATCTTTTATATCATTAAGATATTCGTATCAATGCATTTTTATCATTTTATCAATAAGCGATTTAGATTTTTAGACCCCTTAACCTACCTCCAAACCTAAACCTACCCATTTTACAGCGAATATGCATTTTTATAATTTTATTAATACGCAATTTAGATTTTTAGACCCCTTAACCTACCTCCAAACCTAAACCTACCCATTTTACAGCGAATCCAAAAGTAATCCAAATAATGATGCGTTGCACCCGCAGTCCTCTCTGGCGGAATACAGTAGGTTTGTGTGATCCAGTGCAGAATTTATGTTGTTAATTGCTGAAAATATTATCCAGAACATTTTCCCGATCCACTCCGTGAACTCGTGAAGGCGCGCGCGCATCATTCAAACACACCTATACAATATCCATATGTATGTAATTTCAATGCTATGGCCTTTGTGTAGATATTTAAAGATGGTCATCTTTAAGCATGACTGTTGAAATTAAATGGTAACACTTTACAATAAGAGTCCATTAGTAACATTAAGAATAATGAAAGCTGTAGAAGTATTGTTCCTTGTTTGAGTGTGTTAATTCAACATTTACTATTACTAATACATTTTTTTAATTTTAAAGTGTCTTCTGTTAACATTAGTTAATAAACTATGAACTAACTTTAATGATCAATATAATCATTCATATTTTTATTCATTTACAAAGTATGGTTCAATACTGTTTTTTTTTTTTGAGCATTTGATTGATTGACTGATTAAAAAGTAGGGATGTAGAAACTATGCATAAAAAATATCTGCATGAAACAGAAACAGCAGAGCTGAATGAGACGCAGATTCACTCTCCGCCAGCAGGTGGCGCTTTAAGCGTTTTCTTGGTTTCCGCTGTAAACAAAGCAGCGCTGTACTTATGAACTTTAATATGCAGGGCTCCAGACTGCGATGCGACCAAATCATGTGCTCGTGTAACCAGCTGAGAAAGTTAGTTGCGAAAGAGCGACCAGTGGGAAGAATGAGTCTGGAGCCCTGATATGCATTATACAGAGGCAAGAGGAAAATAAAAAATACCATCGAAAGACAGTAAGTTCCCCTCAGACATACATTCATATAAACTCCTACCCCTAACTGAATCGCCGCGATTTGTTTAGCATCTCAACCGATTTGAATCGTCACATATTTAAATCGATTTTCAACCGGCTCGCGGTTAATCGTTACATCCCTAGTAAATAATTTTGTATTTTTCTTAGAAAATGACCGATTGTTTCACTAGATAAGACCCTTATTCCTTGGCAGGGATCACGTAGAACCCTTTGAAGCTGCACTGAAACTGCAATTTGGACCTTTTCACCATTGGCCACCACTCAAGTCCACTATATGGAGAAAAATCCTGGAATGTTTTCCTCAAAAACCTTAAATTATTTTCGACTGAAGAAAGAAAGACATGAACATCCTGGATGACATGGAGTGAGTACATTTTCAGGAAATTTTCATTCTGGAAGTGAACTGCTCCTTTAAGGACAAAAACCTGACAAATGTCTTGAAGTACATTACCTGAAAAATATCTTTAGGTGCAGTAAGGTAACTGTAGCATAAGCAGAATAATTGACTCCAGGCCACTGAATTATTAGAAAAACAATGCTTTGTTTGCATTATTAACAAAGGCATAATTAACAAATTTAAAAAGTGGTTCAGAAACAAAACACAACAGACAACCATCCACAGAAGCAGTGACGTATTTGTTTGTTTAACCTGAATCTCTGGAGGAGACCATCCCAGAACTGAGCTCCTAGCAACAGAGATACAGGGACAGGAGGAGAGAGGGTAAAAATAGCATCTTAACACAATCTCTCTCTCACACACACACACACACACACACACACACGCAGTCAAAAACACAGTCACTGCTGCAGACACAACTTGCTCCTATATCTCTCGCACTTGGCCACATTCACACATAGTGACGATCACCCTTAATGCCAGAAAACTGAGGATTACAGGATGGTGTGAAAACAGCAAATGTGTGGTTTCAATACAGCTGAAAAAAAAACAAAACATGAGATAATCCTCATGTGACACAACCACATGATTCAGCAGACTGAGACAGACATACAAGCACGCACCTGACCCAGCAACCAATGAAAGGGCATCTGTAATGTGACATAATACATAAGCATTTGGCATGTTCTGCAAGAGCACACACACACGCAATCATATGAACTGATGTATCTAGAAGGTTTCATTATAAAAATACGAAATGCTCATACACACTAAGTTTTGGAAGTGACATCTCTAAAGTGTATACAGAGCAAATTGCGATGTCAGACATAGTAATGGTTATAGTAATGTCTCTGCGTCTCATGGTTGTAAGAAGAATGAATGCTAAAACCTAGAGTATATTCCAGTTTTAGTATGTACAGCCAAACGCATAGCCTTTATGCTCCATTTGATAGTGAGTCTATGTGAAGTGCATTGAGTCCAATCGTGAGAAAAAGATCACCCCGGGACAGGATTTAACCAGGGTTTAGACGAGGTTAATCCCAACCAGGTGAACTACACCTCTGATTTATCTCCATTAACCTAATCTTCACCTTATGTGACATCTCAATCCCATTCACTTGTAGCGTTTCAATGAAACCCAACTGTGATCTCACTGTGAAAGCTCATTTCCTGACCACGTCATTCACTCCGGATGGCATTGCACAAGTATCATGTTCATGAAATTAAGTTGATTCAGACATACTCACTCTTTCACTGCATTTTTTTCTTGCCTCTCGCAAATATCAGTAGCAATCCTATAATGATAATAGTAAAGCAATAGTTTACCCAAAAATGTACATTGTTATAAGTATTATTAGTTTTACTAATGATTTTAAGTAGAACCTAAAAACCTAAAAGTCTTGTCATTATTAACTTAAAATTTTGACCCCAGCCCTAGGCCTCCTTAGTGTGTTCATGAGAGAAGTAGTGACGTGCAACTGTGAACCAACGATTATTTTGTGTCAGATCATTCCAATAAAACAACTGATCTGGTTCAAAAAATGATCAGAACAATTCAGTTAAGACTTAAAGTGATTCACTGTCTCTGTGCGTTAACTGGTTAACTGCTCTCTAGAAGTTATCAATGAAAAACGTATAATATCAATCAATCAATCTGCTCTTCACAAAACTATTTTTGACTCTAAAAAAATTAAATATAGCACAAGAGATTTAAACAAAAAACAAATAATCACAATCTTCTCAATTAACATTTAAAATCACATGAGCAATATGACCTCTATAAAAGAGGAATGTGATTAGTGTGTGTGTGTGTGTGTGTGTGTGTGTGTGTGTGTGTGATTTAGAAAGAAAGTGAGATGGGGGAGCGAGAGGGAACTTTACAAAGCATTTGTAAATCGGTTCACGGCCAAACGGAGATTATGGAATTAACCCTCAGCTTTCACTTTAGAAGTCACTACTCTTTCCTCACTCCACTTGTCCT